AGTACCATACGAAGATCTGGTGGCAGAAGCAACCGGAGAATCAAATGGGAAACATTATCTTCGGTGGACATGAGAACGAAATTTGGGAACAACATCGCACGACGGTTTGAACAGATCCCAATGATGACAACTGATATTGAAACCGAGTGGCAGCTCTTTAAGAGCCGCATACTCCAGGCTGCCGCCGAATGCTGCGGATATAAGTAGGTTGGCCTGCCGCCTGGAGGTCAGAAAAGATCATCATGGTGGACACGAGCGGTACAACTGGCAGTTAAAAAGAAGAAAGCAGCGTTCAAGAAATGGCTTGGAAACAAGGAACCATCTACTCGCGTGCGATATGTCGAGGCATGCAAGGCGGTCGCCACTGCAGTGGCAAAAGCCAAGGCTGATTCCTGGGAGAAGTTCGGTGAGGTGTTAGATCCAATTTCCACACAGCAAACAAAGTATTCTGGCAAACCATCCGCCGGCTCCGAGGTGAAAAGACGGACAGTCTCAAAGTTTTGAAGGACAGACCTGGACACTCTCTTACTAAGGATAATGACATTCTTCGGCGATGGAGGTAGTACTTTGAGGAACTCCTTAACCCCGCGCAACAGCAGGAAGACTCGCCTGTAGAGCACTAGGGTGCGGATATTACTATCTCTGTAGATGAAATTGCACAGGCTGTGAAAAGCTTGAAAAATAGAAAAGCTGCCGGAATTGACGAAATCCGCCCTGAGATGCTCAAGGCATTAGACGAACAAGGCATGTGCTGACTAACACGTGTCTTTCAAACAGAGATGACTGAGGGAAAGGCACCAGCGGACTGGAGAACGGGAGTAACTGTACCCGTATTCAAGAAGGGAGACCATAAGGAATGCTCCAATTATAGGGGCATAACGTTATTATTCCAGGTAAAGTATACGCAAAGGTGTTAGAAAGGAGGTGCCGTGAAATAACTGACCTCAAGATCCAAGAAGAGCAGCGTGACCTCCTGCCCGGTCGAAGCATCTCTGACCATATATTTGCCCTGCGCCAGATTGTTGAGAAATCGTGGGAGTACCCCAAGCCGGTGTACATGTGTTTTGTGGACCTAGAGAAAGCGTATGACCAGATCCCCCGCAACAGTCTGTGGACATGCCTTCGTGCATGCGGGATTGATGGCAAGTTGCCAAGGGCCATCCAATCACTGGATTCTGATAGCAGGTGCGGTGTCAGTTAATGGCGTTAAGTCGAAACCATTCAACGTTCGCACTGGTCTCCGCCAAGGCTTCGTCCTGTCCCGTATCCTGTTTGTGTTGTAT